AAAAAGATTGATTGTTTCTCTCTTCTTTTCGGGTTGTATGGATTTCGGCCACTTTAAAAGAAACGATCTTCCTGGGAAGTGACTTTTCGCTTTATTTATTTATTTGGTAAACTCTGGAAGTGGAGCCGTTTATTGGCAAGGGGAAACGGGGAGGGAGGGGAGAAATATAAGATGGGAAGGAAAGAAATGTGATTTCAGAGATATCCATGACCTTAAAAACACGTTTGGCCTTTAAGGAAAGTGCCAAGGATCCATTAAGTGTCGCTTTAGAAGCAGAAGGATTACACTGCTTCTTCACAAGTCGTTTCAGGAGCTAAATCGGGCCGGTCAGACTTCACTTGACTTGAAAGCTCACTTGATTTCCTAAGTGCCTCATAGCCGGGCTCAGACAGACCTTCTTGCTCATGCGAACTTCTAAAGCTCGGCGATGTATTTATGGCATTCAAATACCCCCAGGCAGCTCGCCTGCGGTTCGGACCGCTTTCTTCCCGGCTGCATGAGGGCATTTCGGGCTGGCAGAGCCGCTTTTCCCACGCCTGCAACCCCCCGGGGGGGTGCGAACTTTGTGGAGATGAGCAAATGGCAGAGGCAGAGATGGGCAGAGCTGGCAAGGCCAGGAAGCTCCACGCAGCACCAGGCAGTGCTGCCAGCACCGAGCAGCACCCAGCACTGCAGGTAGGAATGAGCAGCACCCAGCAATGCATGCAGCACCCAGCAATGCATGCAGCACCCAGCAATGCATGCAGCACCCAGCAGCACCCAGCACTGCAGGTAGGAATGAGCAGCACCCAGCAATGCATGCAGCACCCAGCAGCACCCAGCAGTGCAAACAGAACTGAGCAGCATTCAGCAGTGCAGGTAGAAATGAGAAGCAGCAGGCAGTGCATGCAGCACCCAGCAGCACCTAGCAATGCAGGCAGAACTGAGCTGCGCAAGCAGCACCATATAGTACCATGGAGCACCCAGTAGTGCAGGCAGCACCAAGCAACACCAAGCAGTGCAAGAAATATTAAACAGAACCACACAGCACCCAGAAGTGCGTGCAGAACTGAGCAGCACCCAGCAGCTCAGGCAGCATCAAGCAGCACCAAACAGCACCCAGCAACGCAGGCAGAACTGAGAAGCACCCAGCAGTGCAGGCAGCATCAAGCAGCACCAAAGAGCACCAAAGAGCACCCAGCAAACCCAGGCTGTGCCAAGCAGCACCCAGCAGCCCCAGCCAGCATTTCCCTGCCCATTGGTCCCACCGAACCACCCTGCATCTCTCTGCTTGCAAAGGAGCGATGGCAGGGATCCTTTCCTGGGGATCTTCTCTCTCGCCTTCTTCTTCTTCTTCTTTTTTTTTTTAATCAATTAAAGAAAATAATGCTTTCTGTTTGCCACCAGGCCCCGCCTGCCATTGGCCAGGGGTGGCCACGTGACCAGGAATTGGCTGCAATTTCGCCCCAGTCTCGAGTTTAATAGAGCAAGGTCCCCATACGCCTGTATTATCAGCAATATAACAATTATAAAAAGCCCGAGAACCATCATCATCACTGCCATAAAAACTGAGGCCCTTAGATTTCTTCCTCTCTTTCCCTCCTCCTTCCTCCCCCCCCTCCCGCTTTTTAAACCCTGGGCCCTGGAAAAGCCATGAATTTTGAATTTGAGAGGGAGATCGGGTTTATAAATAGCCAGCCTTCGCTCGCAGAGTGCCTGACGTCTCTTCCCGCTGTCCTGGAGACATTTCAAACTTCATCAATCAAGGACTCGACATTAATTCCTCCTCCTTTCGAGCAAACCGTCCTCAGCCTGAATCCTTGTTCCAGCAGCCAGGCAAGACCGAGGAGCCAAAAAAGAGCATCCCATGGCCTGCTCCAGCCTCAGCCTCCGGCACAGCCCGGCCCCTTGGCAGCGGAATTCCCTTGGATGAAGGAGAAGAAATCGTCCAAGAAAATCACCCAGGCTCCATCCTCATCTTCCTCTTCTTTCCCCCCATCATCTTCCTCGGTGCCGATCCCCGCCGCAGGATCTCCTGCAGGTTCGTATAATGAGGGGCTGAGGGGGTGTTGGCTGAAATCGGAGAGGATCCGAATTATAAACGATCCCCGTCCCACCAGCAGCCCTACCCCCCCCCCCCCCCCCCAGCAGACTTTGCCCCGCACCTCTCCCAAACTGTGTCACGCAATAAAATACACCGCAGCAATGCACACAGCCGGGGAAGGGGGGGGGGGGGGGGAGGGGGGGGTATGAGAAGGGGGGAAAGAGAGGGGGGGAATTTATACTGCCTCCTCCCCCCCTGCAAATAAAAGAGCAATTTGCTGCAACTTCTGCGAAAGCGAAGAGGGAGAGATTTCAGGGGAAGCCGGGCTTTTTATTAGCTACAGAGGGAGGATTTGGCAGCTGAGCCACGGCTCCATTTTCTTGACTTCCTCTGCCAGCCTCGAATTCTTTTACAACCTGCAGGGGGAATAAAAACAAATAAAAATCGAACGAAAGAAGAGTGGAGAGGGAAAAGAAAGACGGGTGGGTAATGCGGGGATGCTGCGGGCTAGATGAGGAGGCAGAAGGAGAGCGAACAGAACTCCCCGAGCATCCAAGGCAGTGGGAAGAGCCAGATCCCTATTGCAAAAATAAACGAATGGATAGATAGGAACACCCAACCCCCCCAGCCCTCGGATAAATGAATGTCTTCCCTCCGAAGCTCTGTTTGGATAAGGAGCTCGGCAGATCCGGCCAGGGATCCTCCTTCCCCGGGGACAAAATGTTTGAGGCTCAATTCGCTGCTTGGGTATTTTTGTAGCACCGCTCAGGTAAAAGTGTGTTCAGGCAGAAGGGCGGATATCAGAGCTCACTGATCAGATAACGCAGGAATAATGAAATCAAAGCTCCGCAGGGTCAGTCCTTATCTACTGGCTTTAAAATAATAAGAAAAAAAATTAAAAATTAAAAAAAAAGGCGGGGGGGGGGGGGGGGGGGGGAAGGAAAGGATCGAAAATCCCCGTATCTGAAAAGAAGGCAGGGAAGGAAGGTGTCTAAAGGGAGAGGCCAGGGAGCAAAATCCTTTCTCCTCCTTGGGACAAGGCTACAAAAAAGCGATTTCCAACCCTCATCCCCGTTGGAAGAGAGCAATTAAACGTTTACTTTCTTTCGTAGCGGCTCCCCAACCCCCCACCTCCTCCCGATGGGTACCGTGGGGGCACGCTGAGCTCTGCCCGTGGTGAGGGAGGGGGGGGCGGCTCCGTCCCTTCCATCCTCTCCCCGGCCCCGCTCCCTCCCCGCAATGTGAGGTTTTGTGTGTTTAAGACACGCAGGGGTTGGCAGACAGCAGCGGCTCTAGGCGGCTCCGGACAGCTTACACCAACACACAGCTCCTGGAGCTGGAGAAGGAATTCCACTTCAACAAATACCTCTGCAGGCCCCGTCGGGTAGAAATTGCTGCTTTGCTCGATCTGACCGAACGACAAGTTAAAGTATGGTTCCAGAACCGCAGGATGAAGCACAAGAGGCAAACACAATACAAAGATCCCCCCGACGGGGACATCGCTTACCCCGGGCTGGATGAGGGCAGCGAAGCCACGGATGAGGCCGAGGAAAGCCCTTTATTGGGGCCGTGCCCGGGGCCGTACCGGGGTGCGCAGCCCGAGCAGCCCCGCAGCCCTCGGGACACCGATCGGCCCGGACCCCCCCCCTCGGATCTCAGCTTTCCCGAGAGCCAGGGCTCGCCTTGGTTGCCGGAACTCAGCATCCTCTCGGCAGAATCTTGCTTGCAGCTCTCCCCCGCTCTTCAGGATTCTTTGGAGAGCCCCCTCCATTTCTCGGAGGAAGATCTGGACTTTTTTACCAGCGCACTTTGTACCATAGATCTGCAGCACTTCAATTTCCAATAGCGTCCCCGTTTGTCTCTCTCTCCTTTTTTTTTCTTTGTCCCTTTCTGCCCCACCCCGAGCCTCTTCAGCTCTTCAGACGGGAGGGGGTCACCCCAAAAACAAACCCAAATCATCCCCCTTTCAATCAGCAATCGGACATTTTAAAGCTCTTCACTTTGAGGGACCCGAATCGCAGCCGCACTATTTATTTTAGAAGGCTCGTACAAAAGAGCTTTTTTACATTTAAAATATAAATTAGGTGCTAAGTGATAGGCTTTTTCCTTATTTATTTTAAAGGAAGCACCCAGTAGTTTCCATGCGCATCAGAGATGACCGCCCTCGAGAGAAAACAATTGCGAACCCTTCAAGCGACTTTCTCAGGAATCAGAATGAGACTTTTCGATTTCTTAAGGAAATAATAACGAGAAGAACAGAGGAATTTTCGTTCCTCCTTTTTAAGTTTTAGATGTAGATTATTTATTCAAATCCTTTAATAGCAAATGGCAAATTATTTATTGTACATTATTTTCATAGAGGAAATAAATGCCTTTATAAAAGCGAGGGAAGCGCGTTGCTGAGTGTTTCGTTTGAAATGGTTTGTTGGCCTGGCCCGATCTCCTTCCCTGATCTGCAGCAATTTGACGTCTGTTGGTGTGCATCGAAAGAGGAAAGACAAAAGGGAATCGTAGCAGCCAACGATCCTTAAGGCTTCGCGAGTCGGAGCCCGCGTTTTCCTTCAGCGCCGTTCATAATAATAATAGTAATTATTATCATTATTATTATTATTGTGACGATTTGGGGAAAGGAATCGAAGAGGGGAGTTGGTTTCCAATGATTCCCGTTGGGTTTTTGTCAGTGCAGAGCGGTGCAGAGGCGGTGGGTGCGGGGCACAAAGGCAGCGAGCGCAGCCCCCGCACATTCCGTTCCCGCATCCCACGGCTCTCCCAGCTCTGCAGCAGCAAATGCCGACGAGAGGCGATTGTCGGCGTTATCAACGTCGTGGTCAGGCAAAAAGTTAAGAAGGAAACGCTGTAAAGGGTTTCGGATGGGTACAAAACATGGGTGACAGCATTTTGATCAACACAGAAATGCTATAGAGAAAAGAGATGGAAAGAGATGAGCCAGAAAGAGGCCTTTCTTTTTCTTTCCTCTTTTTCTTTTTCTTTTTTTTTTTTCCTTTCTTTCTTTCTTTTTTTTTTTTTTCCCCCCCCCCCCCCTCCCCCTTCCTTTCTTTTCCTTTCCTTTCTTTTTCTTTCATTTCTTTTTCTTTCCTTTCCTTTTTCCTCTCCTTTTCTCCACGAAAAACCAAACCCCATTGATGTTGCCCGGCCTGGTAAATCTGTTGTCTCCATGCACTACGATTTGTGTTTCTCTCTCCCGGTTCGCGGCTCTCTTTCTGAAAGCTTTCTCGCAACGTGCTATTTTAAACACAAAACTCATATATCAAGGAGGGAGGGCGAGGCAGAGGGGGTGGGGGAGGCTTATGAATGAAAAGGGGTCAGCGCAGGAATCAATCGCGGTGACACCCAAAATAAATCATATTACGTCTTTGCTAAGTCACCGGTGTTTCCTCGCACACGGCAGAAATTCGGCGGTGGTGTCGGAGCGATGGGAGAACAGAGAGGAAAATCAAGGGGGGGTGGAATGGAGAGGCGGCCCTGGGGCGGCCGGAGCGGAGCGGAGCAGCGGGGCTCGGCCGTTTGCTGTACCGATGGGCTCTGCTGGGGGCCGTACAGCATTGGGTCGGATGCTGTCACCCCCATCACCCCCCTTCCACCCCCCTTTAAGGGTGTGCGAAACTCGTGTGCTCCCCTCCGTGTTTTAATACGTAAGGAGCATCACAGCCAGGCTTGTTTCCAGCTTCGAGCGGTGAAAAGGAATAAAAAGAAAGAAAGAAAGAAAGGAAGGAAAAAAAAAAACAAAAACCCGCCCTCCACAGATGTTTGCGAAATTGCTGTTCGAAATGCTGGATGATCGCTTCCCGTCGAAACAAAGGGAGGTTTGGTTTTAAGGCCTCCTCTTCGCTCCTACCCGACATCGCTACCCTTCTTTCCCAACCGACCGAGCGGACGTTTCCACCCTGCTCACATCTCTCTCCGGGATGGAGTGTGTTTATACTGAAAATCGAAGTAGACCGCAATTAAAACATGCAAGCGAACGTTACTGAGCATCCTCCCCTAACAAAGAGCAGTGCCCGATGCCGTCCCAGCCCCCGCACCGCGATCCGAAGCCACGAGGAGGGGGAGGGGGTGCAGGGTTTGGGGGGGGGCTGGGAAGATCGCAACCCTACAGAAGGCTATTCATTATCTTTAAGTTTATTTAATATCTCCAGCTTCTGGAACATACTCAGCGGCAGCGTTGGCACTGCCAGACGTTGTCTATCAAAGCGCCATTTGTTCCAGCGCTTTACATATTTCCCCTCTCTCCTCCCCCGCCCCCCACGGCCTTGAATACAGGCTTGTTGAGGGGAGGAAAGGGCCGACCATCAGATGGTCCCTCGGCCCCTCCGAGAGCCCCGCTCAGCCCCCGCTCCGGCCCCAGGGCAGGAGCCGCTTCGCCGTGCTTTATTTTGCCTCGTGTGTTTGCGCATCTCACGAAACCTCCCAAGAGAAGGGAGCTCCTGGTTCGACTTAAACACACATACACGCACGCACGCACACATCTCTCACTTGGCGAATCAATTTTGCAGCGGATTTCCACGAGAGCAGCCGCCCTTCCCGTGTGGAAGGGAGGAGGGGAAGCGAGAGGAGAAGGGGAGGGGACAGCAGGGCCAACATCTTCCCCTCCAGGATGCCCTTTAGGGACTGCGAGGAGACGGCCTTCCCCGTAACGTCCACGCAGGGTGGGATGGAGTGGGGCGTGGGGGAAGGGGGGGGGGGGGGGGGTTCCACGAACCCACCGAACAAACCCTGACACCTTATCAATACAAATCTCTAACGAGGGGCCTTCTGCAGATCGTAATGACTTCTCGAAGTTGCTGCAGGTCTGGAAAGCGTGCCAGTCACAGCCACAGATCAATTCTACACCCACGGAAAGTGACTTAATAAATGGAACCTCGCCAGTTATTATCCTTGCTAACAGCAGGGCCCTTCTTATTTGTCCTAATTAGCAAGACTGAAATGTCGGAGGAAAGAAGGGGAATATTCAATAAAATCTAAATTATTGAATGACTGTAAGATTTCGCCATTAGTTCAGCCATTCTTTACCTTCTTCAAAATGTCAAACAAATGGGGAATGCATATTTGCAACCCTGCCCTTCTGTTCCGTGCAACTGGAGGGCATACATTAAGCATATTAAGCGTATTCAGCTCTTGATCGTTGTCAAAACACTGCAATTGCCTCGCGATTATTAAGCTCGAAATATGCAAATGAGATGTGCTCGCACGTGTTGTAGGGATGCTAAAAGTAATATTTATCTTGCGCTGGGCTAGTCTGGGGATGTGTTTGCTAAAGAGCTACTTGAGGCCCTGAAGATGCTGAACTGAGCCATTAGAGCCATGGGAAGGCTGAAGGTGGAAAAGCTTCTGTGCAGGAAAGAGTGGCAAGGAGCAGAAACTCCAAGAGTTAACTTCTGTGTGGGAATCACTCCCTCCTGAGTTGCTGATGACAGATTCCTCTTTCCTGGGTATATCCCCACAGTGGCTGTTTTTTTTTTCCACCTGAGCAATAACAGACTTTTCCAGCATCCTCCTACTGACTGGACAAAGCTTTAGAGCATCCCCAGTGCTCCATGCCTACCGATGAAAGGATGTGAGAGAGAGGAATTTCTCATCGTCTTGGCAATCTCGCATCCATCACAGCTTTACCTGCTATTTCCCTCCCCCTCTCTATGTACCACGACAGAGAAAGTGAACGTCGGATCCAGAGAAAACTGCTTTAGGAAACGCTGTGGTCAATCCAGGTCTCAAGGCTAGGGGAGCGTTGTTTAAAATGATGCTGGATGATATTAATAATGCTGCCCGACAAATACTGCAGTGTTGGTGAAGATGTGAATAAAATCAGGTCAGTTTTTAAAGGAAGGGTTCAGGAGGAGATGCTCCACGTCGAGATTCTGCAGTGCTGAGAAATCGCACAGATTTAAGTGGAACTTAAAGGGTTCGGCAGCCAGCACGGTTCTACGTAGGGACAGCGGGTACAGCCCTCTTCTCTTCGCTGTCACCGTGCTTGAAGGCTAAAATGAAGCTCATTAGCCGGGCGGATGCATTTAAACACGCGCACCTCTGCCCCGGGGCCCAGATAGGCACGGCCGATGCGATTCCCAAGACCGGTTCCCTAAGCCCAAAGAGGAGGAATTTGATCTTTTGGAGTAGGTAGAGGTGGGATTCGATGGGGTTGTGCCACACTCGGAAGGAGAAATACAGAAATAGGCGTTTCAGGAGAACGAGAACACAAAACAACACCCCCCTACCATCTCCCTCCCCCCCAGGCTACGTGTGCTCCTGTCCCGGTGCTGCTCTCTCCTGGGCGAGGCAGATAAGAACTGTTCTCTTATCTTAATTGTCCCACGTTCATCCTTCTGCTCAGAGATAGCCCCGTGCTTGTAGTTCATCCCAATGATTCCTCCAGCGTTTCTTCGATCTCCCAAACTTTGAAGCCAGTTTTCCTTTGTTGGCGTTTTCCCCCCTCCCCCCCTCCGTTTTTAGATTGCAATCTATGCATCATTTGGACGATGTGGGTCTTTTTTTTTTGGCGATAACGAAGTCAGGGACGAACACACACTTATAAATCACAAGGCCAGGAGCCACCAGGGGCATTTCTTATGCAAGACACAAACTATCTCCGCAAAGAACTGTATTTATATTGAACTCGAAAGCAAAGCATCTGAAGACTCTGAAACACTGTGGAGCCTTTTGAAGCTCTTAACTTGTATTGCCTGCACAGAACTTCCCCCAGCTCGCACACACAGTCTGTATCACAAGGAAAAAAAGAAGACATAGGCGCCTTCAGGAGGTCCTTATCCTTCGTGTCAAGCTCAAAGCAAGCCAAGTATTTCATAAGAAAGAGCGAAAGCCCCCCCAGAGCGCTGCAGCCTCGAGCTCCGTGGGTTCATTCCATGCCGCTAAAAGGCAGCACTCACAAGAAAAGCTTCCCTTTAAGATGAAGTCTTCATTTTATCGGAACAAAAAGGCGTAGTTTTCTCCATGAGGTCGGAACCCACATCCTTGCTAGCAGTGAGAGCCGGCTGTCCTCACACCTGGGGCAGGAAGCTGTCCTGGGATGCGCAAACCAACACCCCGTGCATGAGAAGTCCTCTGCCACCATCCGGGGAAAAAACCGCACTGTTCTGCTGCTGATTGCTCTCATTCCTTTTCTGCTTCTCAAATAAAGGCCGGGGTTTGCAGCAAAAGCTCCTGAAGGCCTTCAGTCCCGCACAGAATTGCGGGCTGTGGGCTGAGGACGTCTGCAAGGCACCTGCATGGAGCCAAGCGGCTGCCAAAGAAGGGATTTCCTCGTTCTCCCATCAATCAGTCGAACACTATTCTGGACAAGACGGTTTCTTTTCCCAGGAATCAACGAGCTGAATCCTTCCCACTTGCCCTCTGTCCTCATCCAGCTCGAGAAGTTCTGTTTCAATCCTTCTGATTGAAAGACAGCAGCACCACCCGGATGGTGCCTTTCTCTCTTCCTCCTCACGAGTGAAAACGAAGCAGTAATGAACGGCTAATTAATTCATTTCGGGGGATAGGAGGCAGAGCTCTGGCAATCTGAGAATTTCCACTTGGATGTTTTGACCACCTCCCCTCTCTCAGCTCTCAATAAAGGGCGTTTTAATGGAACAAATGACGGCATTAAGTTCACCAAGCGATGGATTGCTGCCGATAATCGGGTATTTCTTTCACCTGCGCTTTATGAAGGGATGGTGCTGAGAGCCAAACGGTCTCGCACCTTCTTTACAAGGGGAACTAAACCCGCTAATAATAACGACGGTGATTTGCTGTCAGTCCCAGGGCTGAAGGGCTAAGAGGAAAACTTGGACAAGTGATTCCCGGTGCATTTGTGCGTTCACAGCATCCGCAGGCCGTGCGTTTTGGGGAAGCCCGGGTTACTTTAGGGGAGCAGAGCCCCTGTAGGGCTGTGCCAGGATCCGGAGTG